TGAAACAACAAAAAATGGAAACACCTGTCTTCTATCAGCCGAAATGGGCACTTCAATATTTGACACCTCATTTCACTTCTCACAGTTTGACAGAAAGAAGGGGTATTTTTTTCATGATAAATCCTAGCACCGTGGTAGTAATTATCATATTTTCCTCATAGTGAAAAGAGAATCATGAATATTTATTCATTTTTGTATTAATAATAAAACTTAGAAACTTTTGTAATATTAAAATTGTGAGAGAAATCCAGGTCTCAGAGAAGCTTAGATACTAAATAATAGAAAAATGGAGATACTGGAGATATGGAAAGTTTGAAGGTGTCTAGTGTTGCCAGAGAAAGAAGCAACAGTGACCTCAAAGGCAGATAAGAACCAAGAATGACAGAAGTCTGCTCTAGAAATGGACTATTTTTCCTAAATATTGAAGATATACTGTAAGATGTTCTTGCTTAAAATTGAATTCTAGATTAAAAATTATATACATATTTTAAATTTGGAAATTCCCATAGAAACATTCAATATGGTAACCATCACAACCTAAATATCATTTCAAAACTACTATTCTTCATTTTAGTTTATAATAACCTTTTAAGCCTTAATAATCAATAAGCAGGGAATATCACATACTTGTATAACAATACATAATAACTTTAGCTGCATCAGAATTCTATGTTTTTATTTTGGAGCTACAATCACACTACAAACTGATGCTATAATAAGGCAGCTTATTACTCACTCTATCAAAAGGAGAAAAATAAATTGACAAAATTTGTCAATATTGGATGAGGTTTCTGGTTTTCCCTACTTTGATACTTGTCAAATGACCACATGGAGTTTCATCTTCTTTGTTTTCTTCCAGATAAGTATGTACAGTCAATTAATGCAGGCCCTATGGACCTATGTGAAGACTGGGGTAAGGAGAGAAAAAGGGCAGTGTCCATGCTACACTGTGTCTATCCTGAGTCACTTCCTGGGTTTGAGTTAAACAGTTAGAACCCGTTTATCTCTTCTCTGACATGGCAAACAGATGTGCTGCCAGTCAAGACATCACAAATAGCCTGGAACGTCAGCCTTTCCTACTGAGACAGCACTTTTCATCTGGATAAAAATACACCAAGTTTCTAAAGGAGAAATGCTTGCTGCCAGTCAGGACGCTTCTTCATGCTGGCAGTGCGGAGAAGATAACAGGTCCCCAGGGCTTGAAAGGGGTTGGGATGCTGAATTGCTCCATCTTTAAGCTATCATACTAAGATAAGGCTTCTAATTTTATTTTCTACTGCTTCACTTTCTCTTTTATAAAAGAATGCTTTCACAGATTAAGCAGCATTACATAAATCAAACACATTTTAAGGGTCAATGCCAAGAAAAAAAATACAACTTAATGAAAATGAAAGATTGGCCATGGTTTAAATGTCACAAAGTTCCATTGTATTGGCACAGGGGAAAAAAACCAGGATTTTAGTGTGTGTTTGTATGAAAATATAAAAGATTATGTGCCTGGCCTACCTTCCTATTCAAAGAAATTTGAAAGCTTCTAGAACTTAGGAGAATTTTTTTTCTTTAAGTAATTGAAGTTTTTAGCTTTTTTAGTGTACGAATGCCCCTTGAACTAAAACATTTATTTAATACAGCAATAAAATTTACATTGTGAGGACCTGTTCAGGGCTTAGGGAAAATGTGGCAGGTAAAATAAATAAATAAAGACATTGCTTTTATTTCATGCAGAAATATTTTTTCATTATGTAGTTACTTGTAGCTACCCATTGTCAGAGTCAATAGCAACAAACAAGTAATTTTGTAACAGAGGTGAAACTTTGTAGTCAGAGTAGCAGGACAAGCTCTGTATACCGCCACTAAAGGTAAGACCTAAAGAATGAAGAGGAGGGCCATGTTGTACTAGCTGATTTTCTCATTGCTGTTTCCACACATCTAACAAGGAGCAACTTAAGAGGGTTTCGGCTCACAGTTTGAAGTGACACAGTCTGCCAGGCAGGAGAAGGCATAATGGTGGGTGACTTCCTGGTGACGGAAGTGGGCAGCTGGGACCCTTTACCTTCTTATACCTTGGCAGAACAGAAAGTAAAGAGCAGATAGGAAGTGGAACAGGGCTATAAAACCCCAAGGTCTTCCCCCAGTGACCAACATCTCTAGGTAGGCTTTACCTCCCAAAAGTTCTACAACTTCCCAAAGCGGTGAAACCAGCTGAGAACTAAATGTTAAAACACATAACTCTGCAGGGTACATTTCACATTTGAATCACAATACATACCAAACTGATTTTTATTCATTTAACTGTAATACTGGGACTTGAACTTATGACCTCATGGATACTAAGTAAGTGCTCCAGAGATATACCCTAACCATTGCCCTTTTATTCTTTCTTGTTCTAGTTTTTTTTGACATAGGGTCTTGCTGTGCTGCTCAGGCTGGCGTAGTGTGTAACCCAGGCAAGCCTTGAACTTGCCAACCTCCTGTCACCACCTTTTAAGAAGTAGCCTACACCAGGAGGCCCAGTATAGATTTTAAAATGACCACTTCTAGAGAGAAGTTACAAGAGGCAAAGTTAGTGACAGTTCCCAGAGTCTCCCAGGAAGGCAAGGTAAAATGCTTTCCGGTTCTGCTTCTGTTCTCTTTGCTCTGCTCACCTTCTGTGCCGGTGGTTATAGGTAAAAACATCGTTGATTGATACCTCAATTTTCTATTTTGCTTTGCATTTGGGGAGACCGTCTAAAAAACCTGCTAGTATTATCGGTGCTCTCGTTTCATTTTCTCGCCTTGGGGTTGTCTGTTACTTCTTCATAACTGTAGTATCGTCTCCTATTTTTGTAGAGGTTAAAGAAAATATTTTTGAAAATTTCATTTTCCTGCATTATTCCCATGTTAACTCTTTTCTGTCTCCTCTATTCTTTTCTTCTTCTTCTATTTGTGTATCCACCCTCTCTATAAGAAGCCTGGTGACTTTTCTCGACAGATTGCATATTCAGTATCGAGTAGTAGGTAGGTTAGGGCATGCTGACCAGTGTTAGAGGGGAGGAGGTCTTGCTAGACTACACCTCCTCATGAAACTTTAGTTTTGTCATTTTGTGCTGTTGGGATTTTTGAAAGAAGAGTCTCCCTATCTGCATCGAGGATATATTGCCCAAACTCCCAGACTTTAGTGAGAAGAAAACTGGATACCTTTTCACTTACGATGCAAATTTTACTTAATCCCTCACTATGTCTGATACCTCCTCAGACCACAGATAGTATCTTACCCTTCAAATATCTACAAATTTCAATCTTGGTTGGCAAGAAGTCATTGCTGAGCAGAGGATGGGATCTGAGGACCCAGTGCTTCCTACATACATTTCCAACAGGTCACTCTGTTTCAGCCCTACCATGACTCACCCTCCCCATTGTGGTAGCCAGGATTGCAACAGATCCTTGAGTCTCTCTTTACCTACTTCAACCCGAGGCTGTTTCCCCAGTGGGTCAAATAGTGCAGTGTCTCTCCTGTTAGCACCTTGTGCTCATGTCCATCTGCATTGCTATTTCCCAATCGCGTTGCTGTAAACGCTCCCATCTTAAAGAATCTCATTTCGGGGTTGCTCATGTGGTGTTGGAATGTCAGGATTCACTGATGGTATAGATTTGTTGTCTTTATCCAAGAATTCCATATGTGCTTCAAAAACATTTTACCTGTCAAGCATCTTAAATGTTAATGTGCCACTTGATTCACTGACAATGAAGAATTTAATTCTCATCTCTTAACTTCTACATAGCAGTCAGCATCAAACCACTCCCCATACCTTCAAATACTTCCCTTAACTTGTGGACACTGTGTGCTCCTGCTCAATCCCCTATCCTGGACCCTTCTCTTCCTACCATCATCAAAAGCTGTAATGTCTGACTGAGCAGTGTTATAGTCTCACCTTATTTTAGTTAATCCCCTGTGTCTAGATGATGCCAGTCAAGTTCTTTATTGCAACTCCAACTCTAGATGTCACTTATGAGAAATAGATTTCTTTCTCCAGTAGTTCAATTGTCTCCTTCAGACACCACTAAGACAGTTTAGATTAAATAAAAGTGTATGCTCTTACATTGTCACACCTGGTCCTCTTTCAACATTCTGCCTAGGTAAAGTCACTACCCACGTATCCAAGCTAAAGATTAGATTTATCCTGAATACACCCTCTTTTCATCCCACAATTTCAACCTTTCTCCAAATTCCACAGCTACTGTGCCAAAGACAAATGCACTTCACTTTCTATTCTCTGTTTTTCCCACCAATTTGTTCTCCAGATACCAGTATCTCTCACCAGAAATGGTTAACTAGCCTCCTTCCTCATCTTCCTGATTCTATTCTCTTGTATTCCTATCTCAACCACAGCCTCGTTCTCACATGCTCTTTCTGAAAGACTTCATGTCTCTGCTTGAAATACTGTTTTATTTGCATTTCGTGTGTCGGCTTACATCCTTAGCTTTGGGTGCACCGTGAAAGATCAGCCCTTCCCTAATTCAGCTTCATCTCACGTTGTGTCAATCCCTCGTGTTTCTGAACCTTAGTCTAACTATTCATTTTTACTTCCTAGAGTGCCCTGGGCCCTTTCTGACACAGAACTCCTGTACATGCCATTACCTCTCCTTTGTCTAATAACTATTATCTTGATTTCTAAATCTTGGGTGTTACTTCTTTCAGTGTGAACTAAGAATTCTATCTTGCATCCCTCTCTGTTACATAATAATGCATTTATTTACACAACTTGTGTTCCCACCATATTAAGAATTGCCAGAATAGCTTTGGATGTCTTTTTATTCTGAGCACAAAATACTGTCTGGTTCATAGTTGATGCTTGTAATTGTCCTGTGAGTGAATAATACAGCCAATATATAAAAAAAATGAACTGTCACTAATAAAAGCAAACTGTATTTTCATTATACACTGAGAAATGCACATGATTTTAAAGAAAACATTTTTCAAGGAAGATACTGTTCTAGAGAGTAACCATTGACCTCCTTACTTTCTTTGTTTTGCCCATTGCCTTCAGGATGGAGAGATTCAGGTCTTCAAGCGCAGCCAGTACATTCTCATATTCACCCAAGTGCTGAGAAAAATATTCTGGAAAGTAAAAGGATTAAAATCAATTTATGTCAGAGTCTAGATAATCATAGGACAAAAATCTCAACTGATAATTTACTTCATAAATCAGCAAGCAAACTGTTGGCTATATATAAAAACCGGAAATCTTTCAAATGAGACTAAGGTAGCAGTATACTAATTTCATTAGGAAAGTAAAACAGAAAAAGAAAAATAGCCTAGCTGAATATAATTATCCACAAAAGTGTTCTTTCTTACAAACCCCCCCAGGAATACATGAGTCTTGATGTGATGACAAGGTTGATTCAGTAAAAAGTTATTCTCAACAGTATGTTATCCTAGATCACAATAGGACAGTAATTTGAGAAAAAATGTAAAACTGCTATTATTTCTTCAAGGAAACATTTCTGAAGGATAGCTTTCCCTCCAAGTTTGGTTCTGCAAATCACAAGGGAGATCTGCTGTGGCTCTACTCACAGATATACTTATGTCATGAGTTGTTTTTAAAAATCTCAGCCACTTATTTCCATGGAGCAAAAGTCATATTTATCATATTTTTCCATTGCTAGGAATAACTACTGCCTCAAAAATTATGATTAAAATGAAAACACGGCACACAAAATAATTTCAAATTAGTTGAAATGTGATACAGATAAAGGGAAACTTTATTTACAGAACTTTATATTTCTGAAATTAGAGACCTCTGATCTTAACAAACATTCATATTCTAGAAAGAGCAGAACTTTCATGTACTGTGTTCTGGAAAACCAATAGCCCTTTCCAGTCCTATGAACCATCTATTGATGAACTACTATTTATTATTGTATTTCTGTAACGTATCATATTTAAAAATTACATTAGAATGATATCAACCCACATGCAGACTTAATTTTGGGCTATACTGTAATATGTTTGATAAAAGCTGCTTTTGTTAATCTAATACTCCAGGTAGAACAGTTGTTGAGATTGGTATTAACAAAAGTGGAGGCTGGAGATTTAAATCAGCTGGCTAGTATGCTTGTTCAATATGCACAAAGCCCTGGTTTCTATCCCCAGTACCACATAAGCCATGTGTAGTGTTGCTTGTCTGTAATCCCAGCACCCAGGAATTGGAAACTAGGCTCAGACAGTCAAGGTCATCCTCAGATACATAGAAAGTTCAAGTCATGGCTGGATTACACGAGACTTTGTCTCAAAAATACTGGACAGTTGACTAATTGGATACCCAGGGTATAAACTTCTCAGAGAATAAAAAACAATGAAGCACAAATATTCTAGATATTGCCATAATGCAGCCTATGCATACATAAATTAAAAACAAATGAAATATTTTTCCTAAAGCAAAATACATTCTTGATTCTGCAGTCTCTAAAACACTGTGACTCATCCTTTATAGACATTCTTTTAGGGAAGAATTAGTGAAATAATAAATGAAGAAATACTCTTTAAATAAATTAAAAGTAAGATTTTAAGTTTTGGTTATGCTATTAATTTTCTGATAGGATTAGCTAAAATATTTGTTTTATCTGTGTAGTGATTGTAATAAATGAAATCCATGTGGACAGTACTCTTTATGAATCAATATGCAGTTAATATTGCTGTAGAATATTCATAAGATAGGAAAATAATGCATATCAAGATAGAAGCAATATTAAGTTAAAATAATCAAAATATGCAAAGAAACATGAAGAAATGATAAGTTTGTTCATTTTTATTTCAATATATGCACAGCCTCAAAGAAGACTATGCAGGAGTTTTACATGTAAGTAGTGAAAATTCAGACTGTGAAAATACAAGAGAATTGAGTGTGTTAGAGGTTTTACGAAAAGGGGCTAGAGAAGAAGCTATTTTCACTTCAAAAAGACCCATCACAGAACTATTTCAATCATTCAGGATCCAGCGATGGCTTGCACCAAGATGGTGGCAATGAAAATGTTCAGATTGCTGATACATTTTGACACATATTATTTTAAATATAAATATGTGAAAAGTAATTCTGGATTTATGTGCACATTTAAAGTAAAATATGTCTTTCTGTATTCTTTGCAGGCATATACTTCAGGATGCTATAAGGAAAACTCATTGTGATAAAGGCTCCTTAGACTTGAGATTATTCAAATTGAAATGAAGCCAAGAATGAGGCCAGGTGATATGAACACAGATGTTGAAATTGTACAGACATCAAATAAAGGAGCTAACAGAAAGAAGTGCAAATTATATCTAATATATAGAAAATTGGAAAAGTTAATCTGCGTGGAGTAATTTGATTTGAGAGACTTTTGACTTCCACACAAGAGAAAATAAACGGAACTGCAGTGATGGCTCCGGAAGGTCTGGGGTGTCACTCGACTTGAAGACCATCTTCCTCCCAGACCAGAGCTAATCCACCAGTGAACACCAATAGGTGAAGTATTTTACAATGTGCAAATGAGAAATCTGATGGAATTTTTCTCCCAGGCTTTGTATTTAGAAATAGCCAAGTTCTCTAAAAGATACTTTATTAGTATCAACAACACAAAATATCACATGTATTTACTGGCTTATTTTGTTTTTTTTATTTCTATTCTTGAATTTTTAAATGGAGATCTCTGTGTTTTGACTGAAAAACAGAACAAACCCAAATAAACAAAAAACAAAGGTAGAGCATAATTGGTAGGGTGACTGTTTTGCATTCATGATGGTCTAGGTTAGATCTTCACACACACACACACACACACACACACACACACACACACACACACACACACACAGAGTCCAGGAGTTTTCATAAAATAAAATGAGTGGTAAGGCCACTCCTTTTCTCTACTCGCCTTTTCCCTTTGCTGTTTTTAAGAACGTCACACCCACTGAATCTATGCCACCCTCCCTCTCCCTCCAAGTCCTCCTGTATCCCCACCTCTCACTTCAAAATTTTTGACCTCTTCTAAATGATTATTGTTACATGCACACATGTACCTATGTAACATTTTGAGTCCATTTAGCGTTGCTTATATGTACATATGTCCAGAGCTGACCTTTCAAAATAAAGATGCCTTTCATAGTCAAGACGTTTGGCTTAGCTAGCAAAGCGTGGTGAAGAGAAATTCAGTTTTCTTTCTATTTTTACGTCACGTGTGCTAGCACATGCATGCAGAGGCCAGTACAGCATATGAGGAAACTATGTCTGGAGGCTTCAGATAGGAACCCCTCAGGGTTTCATTCATTTTTCCTCTTCCTCATTTACACATCTGTTCATTTCGACTCCCCACATAGTTAGAGAGGGCACAACCACATGGTAAGTGATCTAGCAATGACTGATGCTGAGCATGGAGGGAATGACAAGGCCATCCCTGAACAACAGCTTGAGCTGGGAAGCTAAGCAAGGTGGTGAGGCTGGGTGCCCTAAGATCATCAGTGAGAGAGGAAGCTGGGTGAGCTGTGAACACTCCTCGCTTAGTGTTCTCCTTTTATCTTCAAGTTTAGGTTAGTGTTCTCAACTGTCGGTGTCAGAGTCCTCTGGAGCCTCCCTGATTTTCTTCTCTGTGGACCAGCAGTTGGAATTTTAGATCACATCGTCTCAGGCCCACAGGCCTGCTGATTCACCAATGCGCTTTAGTAAGAAATGAGGTGATTTATGGGTACATTTAAGTTTGGGAAGCATGAATCCAGGGAACTTGCTACAAATGAAGATTATTAGTAAAGTCTCATCTGCTAAATCAGAATCTTGGGGTTAAGGCATAGAAATCAACATTTCTACAGATTCTAAAAGTTTGACATGAAAATTAAATTTAAGATGACTATGTGCAACAGGTAGGAGAAACATTTTGAAAAGAAGAGTGTTGTAGAATATTATTTGAAGATGTGTTACATTTGTTTCTGCTGTGGAACATTTGTTTTAATGATGCAAAGACATGTTGCATTCTTCTATGTTACATTTGTTTAACTCTGTGAAGCTGTGTTGCTGGACATTTCTATCTGATTGTGTTTGTCAGATTACATGGGATAAAACCCTGTATCTCATCTCACTTAGTTGCTTTTTCTGCCTCATTTACAAGGTGCTGACAAGGTACACACTGCGGAAGTCATGTAGATTCATGAGAATGTTTTCTGATACTATTTCCTACTCTGATGCAGTAGCTATGGGTTCTTTTGTTCTGACTTGATCTTCTTAAACCAGACCTGAAATTCAACTTGGAAGATTGAGTTGCAGAATAAAATCCAAAATTTCAGTAGAGATTATTCTAAGGGAGTTTGATAAGTGTGAGTGATCAGTCCAAAAAACCTTAACAGAAAAATGCACCTTGAAGAACCATGCATAATCAAAATTCCATTGTCTATCTTGATGGTACCATCCACATTCACCAATGGTGATTCAGCTTATATACTCAGACAATGCAATGTTATTAATTAAAATATTATTTATATATTACTCTCACAAGTTAGACTGCAAAGATATTTTAAAGTAATATTTTAATAGATTTTGAATTTAGGTCCATAATTGAATTAACTGGTGAATTAAGTAAAAGCTTAATTAAGCTAAGATCTAGATGCCTAGAATCTGTAATTGGTTTCTAGGAGAAAGTGCATGAAATCTCTGTTCTGTCAATCAAACCCCACCCCTCCCACGCCTACAGGGAACTTGTATGAGATGTGACTCGACATATTTCACTTGCTGGCACTGAAGCCTTGGCTCTGATTAAAATCCAACTTCAATATTTATCTTATATTCAAATAATAATTTGAAATGAAGCTGCAATCTAGAAATAAAAATGCATATTCTACAGCAGAGAAGAGGATTATAACAAGAGTGTGAATATAATCACTGGATTTAAAAATATAAAGAAATTCTGTGTTGGATTAAAGCCCAATCACTTCCCTTCCTACAACTATGGGGAGAGGGAAGCATTCAAATTCTCCAATATATACAGAGTAGATGACTAATCAAGTCTCATTATTATAGGGAAAGAAAACAAAATTCTACTTGGATGATTAAGTGAAGACTCACAGCTACGCTTTAAAGTTTAGTAGTTTTAGGAGAAGACAAATTTGTAAGACACTCCTTAAGGACAGACAGACAACAGAGCAAACAGACAATAGTCACTAAATGTTTTTTGAATTAAAGATATTAATAAGTTATTTTTTCAATTAGCTCTTCTTACTCAGGCAAAGGAATTTTCTAAACAATTAGAGAGAGTTGTTAATTTGGCCTGCTGCTGTGGTGATATTGTGTTCCCCAAAATATTGTGCACCCTAATAAACTTATCAGGGTCTGAGAACAGAACAGCCACTAGATAGACATAGAGGCCAGAAAATGGTGGCACACACGCCTTTAATCCTATCACTTGGGAGGCAGAGTTCAAAGCCACACTGGAAACAGCCAGGCATGGTGACTCACGCCTTTAATCCCAGGAAGTGATGACAGAAAGCAGAAAGGTATATAAGATGTGAAGACCAGGAACTAGAGCTGGTTAAGCTTTTAGGCTTTGGAGCAGCACAGGTCAACTGAGAGGCATCCAGTCTGAGGAAACAGGATCAGCTGAGGAATTGGCGAGGTGAGGTGGCCGTGGCTTGTTCTGCTTCTCTGATATTCCAGCATTCACCCCAATATCCAGCTCCAGGTTTGTTTTATTAATAAGACCCTTTAGGATTCATGCTACATGCTGTACCTAAACATTTGAGAGAAACAGGTCTCCAAATTCACGAAACGAGCAAGGTGGTTGTCTCAGTTCCTCCCATTATCTCACCTTCACTGGCAAGGGTTGTGGACCCGGGAGAATGGATTGCAACTTGACCTTCGCGGGCTTTGCCATTCATCACACATTTTGGTGTCATGGTCCAGGTGAACTCTTTCATCTGCTTAACCCAGTAATTGTCATGTGTACCTGAAGCTACCTGTGGTGACTGTGTGAAGGTATGGCAGGATTTCCCCATAACTCCAAAAACCTAACCCCCTGTGATACCCAAACGCCTGACTTCTGCACTGGAACTTGTTTCTTCAGTTGGATGCTTGTCCCTGAACTAGAGAGGCCTTGTGCAGGTATTATGCAGGAAGCATAGCGTCTAATGGCCACTGAAACATTTGAAAGCTCCTGGTCAGTGGTCATCATTTGCTTTGTTCAGTTGCTGCCTGCACACTGGATTGTGACACATCATTCTGGCAAAATCTCTGTTGATCTGCTGGAGGGTCAGCAGTCTTCAACGGCAGAAAGTGTCCGTTTGGATGATTGTGGTGAGCTCTAACATTGTAAGAAGTCTACAGTACCAAGAAATATTTGTGATTTCAATGAGGAGTGTTAGAAGACCTTTCTTCTAGCTACCTAAATGTTTCAGGCTGTCTAGACGATAAAATCATACTTGAGCAAAAGTGGTATTTGACACATTCGTCTCAAAATGAAAAATACCAAATCTTCCCATATGCAGAGACATATATATCTGTTTCAAGTTTAGTAGTTTCCATTTTCATAACAAAGAATAATTTTCAGATTATTTACTTTTCTACATTTTTAATCTCTGCCCTCTGTTCCCAGCCACAAAAATAACAGAAATAAATGAAGACTAGGCATTTGAAAATATTTTTCTCTGCACTTGTACATCTTTCAAAAAGGCATTTAAGTTTCTAGAATAATTGCACAGATATGGAACAAAGTTATTTTTATATTTCAAGGATACAGCTTTGGAAAGGCTGCACGTTGGTTATGAAGCAAATGGAGAAGCTGCATTTAGCTAGCGAAGAATTCGTTTCTGTAAAAACTATTCCACAATCCCAATTCTCTTTTCATGAACAAATTAACTAGGCCCGACTGTTTAAGTAATATGCACACTGGGACCAAATTCCAGGACAAGAAAACTTCGACTACTCTGCCAGATGCTTTGCGTTACTTCCGGACTTTTAACACCAAGGAGTGAGAAGTCTCTCACCTTACATTATCCCTTTTCTGAATCAAATCAACAACAGTTTGGTTGGTCTTAAAGATACTCACCACACAGTTCTTCTGTGTCAAGATTGCTGAAAAGAGAGAAAAAAAGATGTTATTCTTTGTTAATGGTTTTTCACTTATCTTTTTTTTCTCCAGAGCTGAAGACTGATAAATTCAAAATATTGGGATAAAATGTTAATAAATATATTACTGTCAGAAGAATAATGCCATGGCCATGACCTGTAGTACAGAAATGAAAAGATACTTCAGTATTAGTCAATTACCTCACACATGATACAAATGATCTTCCATGGGTCTATCCATAGCCCTTCATTTAAGTTTCTAAACACTTAAATACAGTTATTCTCCAGTCCCCATAATTGTTTAATAAAGGTGTGTGGTTATGATAGTTCTCTTAGCCATTCTACATTGTTGAGTACTTGCATGTTATTAGTAATGATTATATCAGAGTCTGTCTTGAACAAATAATTCTGTATTTGTGCTTTTCCTTTCAACATACTAGAAAAATAATACACAATAGCAAAGAACATGAGCTCTGGGGCCAGAACGCTTGAGTCCAAATCTTAACTCCACAGTGATCTTGGATACCCCAATGAGTCTTACTGTCTCTGCCTCAAAAGGCTGTTTCAGTGTTCAAGTGGATTGGGCAAAGGAAACTGGGATCACTGGGGCAAAGTTGATCATTTAATAAAAGCATCATGATTGCTGACTTAACAGAACCAGAGCTGACATACTTTTGAAACAAGTTTGCTTCAATGCTCATTTCAAGTGATTTCTAAGATGTAATAGTTACATGGCTCAAAATTCAGATGTAAACAATAGAAAATCATTACAATTATGAGGAAAAATTCAAAATACTGGGATGAAATGCTAATAAATATATGTGATTATCAGAAGAATAATGCCATGGCCATGGTCCAAGAAGGGTGTGGTACAGGAATGAAAATATACTTCAGTATTAGTCAATAAGTTGTTATAACTAATCACATTATGAGAGAAAGGAGAAGCATACAATATTAGCAATGGTAAATAAGAATTTAACTATAATTCCTGTTTTTTAAAAATTAAAATATGAGGACTAGAAACATACCTCTTAAAGATCTAAAATACATGAGGATCAGCTAGGAATATGAGTTTGAAAAATCTTAGAACTTCCACTTGTCACATGTCAAAGTTCAACATACACCTTCATAGACAAGTCTTCCTGTAAGTCATAGGAAGGGTTGCCAGACACGAGAGACACTGTCATAGCATTCCATCACCAGCCCTATCATTCTTTGTAATGTAACTAAACTCAAGATTTCATTATATGACACCAAATATTCTATCTTGTGTTTGAATATTTTGATACTTCAATGCATGATTTTGTAAATAGATTTGCCACTAGACAGAATATGTCAGGTCTGTTGTGTTAGTTTTGGTGTGGGCTCCTCATTATTCATTTTTTATTGCACAGACATGTATTGCTACATATTAGATATTATTCTAACTGCCATTAATACCCGAGGCTGTAATATATATCAAAATGAATATATTAGATTCCTAGTCTCTTGGAGCTCAGTTCAAAAGTAGACCCAGAGGCCACACACAGTGGCACTTGCCCTTAATCCCAGCACTCAGGAGCCTCAGGCAGGCAGATCTCTATGCATTCAAGGCCAGCCTGGTATACATAGAGAGTTCTAGGACAGTTAGAGCTACATAGTGATACCTTGTCTCAAACACACACAAAAAGAGGTAAACTCATATATAAAATAAATAAATTACAATAAATCAGTTGATATCAGAGAACTGGAGAACTTTTCTCAGGGATCAAAGATTGTATCTCAGGGTGATACAATTAAGCTAAAGTTCAAAGGTTAAATGTGAGTAGAAAAAGTAGATGAACAAGGGATATTCTTATTAAAAATATTTTTTTCAATAGAAGTTAAAAGTGTGACTAGGAATTCATTCAATTTCAGGGAACTAAGCTATTTCTTTGACTGAAATGTAGGTCATCAGTGAGGAAATGGGGCTGAACAAATAGAAGGCCTAACACAACAATGTATGAAGTTCCTCTTTGCTTTCTTATCAATCTGGAATCACAGAAAAATCTAAAGGTGAGCCACTTGACTAGATTACAGGTTGACTAGGTTACAGCTTGACTAGATTACAGGTTGATTAGGTTACAGCTTGACTAGATTACAGGTTGACTAGATTACAGCTTGACTAGATTACAGGTTGACTAGGTTACAGCTTGACTAGATTACAGGTTGACTAGGTTACAGCTTGACTAGATTACAGGTTGACTAGATTACAGCTTGACTAGATTACAGGTTGACTAGGTTACAGTTTGACTAGATTACAGGTTGACTAGATTACAGCTTGACTAGATTACAGGTTGACTAGATTACAGCTTGACTAGGTTATATTGACAAATCAGTTTCAATTAGGTAGTGGTAGAAGGAAAGCAAAGACAGAGCCCCATTTGCAGGTTACCGAAGTATCCAGGGCTCACTGATGTGGGTGGAGCACACAACCCAGTGTGTACCAGTCTCATTCACGAGGTGGGGCAAGAGGATATCTTTGTATTTACATTTAATACTAACCTTTACTTTATGTTTGTGTATACTTATACAACATACAAACAAGTATGCCTATAAATCTATATTTGGTTTATAATCTAATAATACAGTATTTTTTAAGATATAGTTCTCGATACCACTTCCCAGGACTCCACTTTTCCTATATTAACTAACAAGGGAGTGTGGTCTGTAGCAATTCTCTCCACTAGTGATAGGTAGAGATGAAGAGATGGATGGGAAAAAGCTGATACTTGTGAAAGGTTTTGAAGAGAAACCAACAGCATGTTTTAAAACACATAGGATTCAGGGTTAGCTAGCACAGGCATTTTGTAGTATCACTGTCAGATATAAGATTTTTTTCTAAGTCTTACTGTTTTTTATAGAACTGCAGACTTGAAAAGGACTTTAAAGGGCATTGGTTTTGTACTTGTTTTCTTCAATGGTCCACAGGTTCATGACGAGATTTATTTTGAATTTCCAAAAGAATAAACAGCTCCAATTTATTATTGAAAATTAAATTACTTGGAATATAGTATAAAGTAGAACAGCTAGGAATAATGAACACAAGAGCCCTGCTCGTTCATTACTACAAAATGATGCTTGTCAAGTGTTCGTGGCTCCAGCATGCTGTATTCAGTCGTTTTTGTGCCATGCTGTTAGTAGTGGGTAGGAAGCCATAGTTCTCCTTACAGCAGGATTACATGGATAAATTATAATAGGACTCATTTCAGACTGTGATCTATTACATCCTGTAGTAAGGCAAGATTTTAAAGGACACATCAGCTACAGAAGAGTCCAGAGTGTATCTGGTAACATGCAGGGTTTTCCTGCTTCTTTCCATGTTTATAGCAAAAAGTCCAATGGTATTTTACCAATGGCATCATATTAAAATAAAAGAGAGAGAGGTTCAGGGTAAGAGAGAGAAAGCCAGAGGAAAAGAATGAATTCTGATTGTAAACAGTTCACATTCATACAGAAACAGAACAGGAGGGGTATTAATAGAAGAACCCCTTCTCATCTTGCAGCCAGAAAGGGATAGAAACCAAACACAAAGCTACCGATAGCCATCTGATTGGCAATAATGAAAATAAAGGCAAAGAAAGCAAATGTGCAGTAGATGAGTAGCCATGTGAATTGTGTGTTATTATAGAATCACTAAATGCAACTGAAGAGTTCTCACTATCATGGAAAATATATGTGTGTGTGTATATATATATATATATATATATATATATATATATATATATATATTCAAAAATTATACAAATATCAAACCAGAAGTAAATTGGCTATATCCATACATATTGGTCAAAAATTATTTGGAAAAAGTGAATGAATATGATGGTAGTGAACCCACACTGCTCTTGAGTGATAGGACATCAGGGAAGTTTGTTACTTCCTTTTACTTTTCTAAAATACCGTTGTCTGTAATCATTACATTTCCTTCTTAATGGAAATGATAAATTTTGTGGTTGGACTGAAAGAAATCAGGAAAAGTAAGGTGTTAAGGTTAACAGGTGAGATCCATAGTTTCTTTGCACGCACTATGCAACAGCCTATGAGTTTGCTTAGTAGAGGTAGAGTTAGAAAAGGCACATTTTTTTTCTTGAGCTTCAAGTTATTGATTCATTCAGCCATAACATACTAATTATTTCCTCTGTGCCTTATAGTAAGCTGCTTTGTGTCCTCAAAATACTTGCGTCTTATACTCAGTATGTGAAATAAGGTCTTTGTAGATACAATTAAGATGGGGGTTATATTGCGTTAGTGTGTGTGCTAAGTGACTTCCTCTTTAGATGAGATAAGGAAGAAAACTTGGGATATTGAGACACAGACACAGAGAAGGCTTGTGGAGTCAGGCAGAGATTGGAACTCTTCTTCCATAAGCCAAGAAATGCCAGCATTTGCCAGCGACCACAAGAAGCTGAGAGAAACAAGGAAAGCTTCCCCACTTAAGACTGGAGAGAGCAAGGTCTCGCTGAGCCCGTATGCTGGACTTCAGAACTGTCACAGAATAAATTCCTATTGTTTTCAGCTACTCTGTTTATCACATTTTCCATAGTAGCTCTAGGAAACTCTTAAAGCCTTTTCTAATATCATGTGTGGGGTTCAAGTAGCCATGCACATCAAATAGCATCATGTTTTGCTCTCTGTGTCTCTTGACTGTCCTTTGGGCACTTCATGAACTCAAGAGCTAGTTTAAAAGTTGGGTGTTACTACACTGCATTATGGTGAGAAATGTAAACAGATAGAGCTGGTAAACCACTGCTAACATGCATGGAGTACTGAGCAGGAGCTGTAGACCCCTTGAGCACCTTCCAGGGCACTTCACTCTACATAAGGACTCTATGACTTACCTGTTTCTTTCTCATTGTACAAGTGATGCTAAGTTTCTTGTTAGAAATACCCATCCTATCCAATGAGTGAGTGGTGTTGCCTGTATGCAAACCCAGGCACATCTAACTGGAGAGCTCTTGTCTTCTCATATGGGAATCTGGAGTCAGCTG